CAGATTCAAGATCAGTATCATAATCAGTAGATATGACATTTGCACGAGAATTATCTAAATCAAGTACCTCTGTTCGTCCTTGTAATGGTCCATTCACAGCCTAAAATTATTAGGATTAATAATTGAAGAAAAAAAAATTTCACTTATGTTGAAATCTTTAGAAAACGTGCTGATACTTTGCGACGTCTAATAGATACTATATATATTCTTTCTAGTCTAAAGCCTTATGTAAGAATTTGATGCAGAGATAAGAGTACTGATTTCATATATTTTACATTTAAAAGATTTGAAGCACATTGAAAAAGTTGATTTGATGCTGATTGAGCATCTTCATATGAGATTTTTTCAAACATTGCATATAGAGCAGCAGATAATTCATAACATCTATTTGATACAAGCAACTAGAATCATTAAGAAATATAGAAATCTTCAAAAGAAATATTTTTTATAATTTTACTAAAGTATTTCGTGTTAATTGATTTGTTGATTGAGTTAATTGAGCTAATGATGATGATTGTAATATAATACTATTTGATGTTGTTATGAGAAGATTAGTTATAAATGTTACTAGATAATCTCGAACATTTGCTAGTGAATTTAATTGTATACTATAATTAATCAAAGCTGATTCATTCAATGGTATTGAAGTCTATTTTAAATAGAAATAGAAACAAAATAAAATCTATTAAGTTTAATTACTTGTTGTAGACTTTGACTTCCTAATAATGATACTGAAATATCTACAGATGGTATTCCACCTAAGAAAGATTATTTTGATTATCTATCGTAAACTAAATATCAATAATTACTTGAAATAGCTTGATCTAAATTGTCATGATTCATTTGATTGAATTCTTGTGATAATGAAGTCATTATTTGTCCAACAACATTTTGATTTCCACTTGAAAGTAATCGAACAATTGGATTATTTGTTATCGTACTCGATGAATTTATTATTGTATCAATTAAATCATTGATTGTTGCCAAATCTGCAATAATATTAACAGAAGATATATTCACTTGTGTAACAGAACCAGCAAGGTCTCGAACATAAACAACAAGATTAAGTAATGCATTTTCATTATCACCAGCTGGTAATCGAACTTGAAAACTATATTCTGGTGAAAATGCAATTATTGTTCGTTTTGATATGTCTGTTGTCCATGCTAAAATGACAGAAAGTACAAAAGTCAGTCTTTAATGAAAACAAAACATACCATATAACGAATAATCTTGTATTCCATCTACATCATACCAATCTGGACACGTAATAGTAAATAAAGTAGTTATAGTACCATCAAGAGGATTGATTGAACACGAACCATTTGCAGGCGGTTGATTAATAATAAAATTCAATGCACTTGTACTTATTGCGGATAGAAATGTATAAACAACTTCAAAACGCCAAAGACTTATTTGAAGATTATTAAGAAATAATAGATCTGTTGCTGTGAAATTACTTGTATTTGTACCTAAAATGATCAAAAAAAGAATATGTTTGATAATTAAGAAAACAAGATTTTTTACCAAAAAACCAAATATTTTCATAGAGAATCGTATTATTAAATAAAGTCCATTGAGTAGAATTTGAAGATGTTGAATTGTCTGATCCTTGATAAATATTCCATTTGATACTTTGAAGATTTGTACAAGTTCCAATACAAACAGTAAATAAAGCAACTTGTGTTGTTGGATTAAGAAGTTGAAATTCAAGATTTGGAACACACATTGGTGATATTACACAACTAAAATAAATCTTTTTCATTAGAATAATTCAATTAAAAACTCATAAAGAATTTACCCAACAGCAATCAGTTGTGGATGAGTAACTTCAATTGTAACAAGTACATAACCTGTTGCTTGAATAGAAGAATTCTTACGATTTTCCATATAGACCAGAAATTGATACATTCGATTAGATTGAAGTGAACCACCGAGGACTGTTAGAGATGAATTAGGTGATAAAGTTAAATTTCCGAATATCAATCCTGTTCCATTTCCTTTATACAAAGTAATAAAAAAGAAGTGTTTTAATACAGATTAGAACTTCAATAAAATTGAAGTCTCATTAACAATTTTACCTGATCGGTTGAATAAACATGATGGATTATAAGGATCAACTCTTGAATCATCAATTGATAATAATATTCCTTGTACATTTGGAAAATTATATGAATCATAAATTCGGCAATAATATGTATATTTCCATTTCTATAATTACGAATAAAATAACACTTATTTAAATATTCACTTACAGATATATTACTTACAGTTGCATCAAATGTATCTTCATCAGGATCAACCGAAAATGTTCCAGGATCAAGTAGAAGATCTTGTTGATCACCTCGTGTTATCATAGATGTTCCTAATTGAACAAGATTTGCTGTTATACCTGTTGCAGTTATTCTCACATAAACTGAAGATGATGATTTTAAATTTGGTGAATCAATCATTGTTACAGTTAATGTTAGCTGATAAACACCATAAGCAAGTGTTCTTGATGGAATATAAAGTTCACTAAATGTTGTCATAACTTTTTCATTTAATACAATTTCAAATGAACATCTAGTTGAAGTACAATTCTTTATTGTCCATTTTGTAGTTGTTGAAAGTGAACCATCACAATTAAATTGAATCATTGAAGTAATAGAAAAATCTTGACTACGCCGATACGACATTGGAGATGACAGAGATGATTGACCAGGAATCAATGTAATTGTCGGTGAATAGCAAGCTAATTTAGAAAAGAAAAATCGATAAACTATATTTTTTATATTATTCATACTATTACTTCCATTGATATCTAATCCTTGAGAAGTTGTGATGGATGCCGTGCTACGTGAGGTACTACTAGTGGTGGTGGTAGTACTAATTGTGGTACTACTACTTGTAGTGGTGCTACTGCTTGTAGTGGTACTGCTAGTGGTAGTCGTAGTAGTCGTGCTACTTGAAGTACTGCTGCTGCTTGTAGTGGTGCTAGTTGAGGTACTGCTAGTGATAGTAGTGCTACTTGAAGTACTACTGCTGCTCGTGGTAGTACTACTTGAAGTACTGCTGCTGGTGGTTGCAGTGCTACTTGTGGTGCTGCTACTGCTAGTGGTGGTCGTGGTAGTAGTGCTGCTTGAAGTACTGCTAGTAGTAGTGGTAGTACTACTGGTAGTACTGCTGCTGGTGGTTGTAGTGCTACTTGACGTACTGCTGCTGCTCGTAGTGGTACTGCTGGTGGTGGTAGTGGTAGTAGTAGTGCTACTGCTCGTGGTAATACTGCTTGTGGTGCTGCTGCTACTTGTTGTAGTACTAGTGATGGTAGTGGTAGTAGTAGTAGTACTTGAAGTACTGCTGCTGCTTGTAGTGGTGCTACTTGAGGTGCTACTGCTGCTCGTAGTAGTACTACTTGTAGTACTGCTGCTACTTGTTGTAGTACTTGTGGTGGTAGTGGTAGTAGTGGTACTGCTAGTGCTGGTCGTGGTAGTAGTGCTGCTTGAGGTGCTACTGCTACTGGTAGTAGTACTACTTGTGGTACTACTGCTACTCGTTGTAGTACTAGTGGTGGTCGTAGTAGTAGTTGTGGTACTCGTACTGGTGGTACTACTGCTTGTGGTACTAGTGGTGGTAGTAGTAGTACTACTTGTAGTACTGGTGGTAGTAGTAGTAGTGCTGCTGGTGGTACTGCTACTACTAGTAGTAGTACTGCTAGTGGTAGTGCTACTTGTGGTACTAGTGCTGGTGGTAGTGGTACTTGTAGTACTGCTACTGCTTGTAGTCTTAGTGGTGGTAGTAGTAGTAATGCTAGTTGTGGTACTGCTGCTGCTGCTCGTAGTAGTAGTGGTGGTGGTGGTCGGTATTGCTAAAATATAAAACAATTGTGCTTTACTAAGTCAAATTAGAGGGAAGCTATATTAAAAACATTAATATGTGATCAAATGATTCAAGCAACATTTTATTTCGTTTCTGTCAACTTTTTGAATGAGAGTCGTAAACAACTAACTATCAATTACAACTTTATGATGTACGATTATATACAAATAACTTACGGCAGCTGTTATTTTGAAGAGCGAATTGTTGCACTCGACTATTATTTCGATCAGTAACATACATATTTCCATAGCTATCAAAAGCCATACTTTGTGGAAAAGATAGTTGATAAATAGTTGAACCACCTCCTGAACATCCTACTATACATCGAAAACCAGTAGAACTCGAAGCAACAATACGATGATTATAACTATCGACAATAAAAAGATAACCATTAGCATCAAGGACAATTCCAGTTGGATAGTTGAGTGTAATATTTGCTGATGAACCATTACCAACGAGTGTCACTCCATCTAACTGACCAGTTTGAACAAATTGAATACGATTGTTAGCACTGTCTGCAATATAAAGGTTCAGATTACTATCAACATAGATTCCTTGAGGTGAATTAAGCATATTTGATAGTGATCCAGCAGAGCCATTCCCGGCTGCAATTGTCGGGATGGTTGTACCATTATTAAGTAAAAGTTTAACAACTTGATGAAGATTTTTAAGTGAACAATAAAGATTATTATTAATATCAATAAATAAACTATAACAACTTCCATTCACATTCATAACAGTAACACGATTTGATGTATTAAATGTATATTTATCGACTCGACCATATGAATAACCATTATCAATATAAATATCACCAGTCATAGACATAAAAAGACTATATGAATTATTCAAATTGCTATAACTATTACTTGTATATGTAGTACTCCATTGAGGCCATGATAAAATAGTATTACTAACTCGATTAGGTACGTACACAGTATTAATTCCATTAATAAAAATACTATATGGTAAAGTACCAATTGTACTACTTGATGCAAAATTTACAGCATTTACAGACCATAAAGCATTAGAACAAAATGTTGGTTGATTATAAGAAAGACCTAAAATAAATAAATTTATATTATGGAAAACATAAAGTAAAAATAACTTACTACATGAATTTGATGCTAAGATAAACTTTTGTATGCGATAATTATATCTATCAGCGACAAATAAATTTCCATAACTGTCAAATCTTAAAATTACTGGCTGATTCAATTGACTTGAACTGGAACCACTCCCTGTACATCCAAATAGACACCGAAAACCATATGGTCCTGATCCAACTACTCGATTATTAGAAGTATCCGCAATAAAAAGATATCCATTACTATCTAATATAATACCATTTGGATAATAAAGTGTAATAGTTCCTGGTGCACTTGCTCCTGCTACCGTTATTCCAGTTAATTGCCCAAGAGGAAACATCTGTATTCTATTGTTATAACAATCTCCAACATATAAATTGAATTCAGCATCGACAAAAACTCCAATAGGCCAATTAAGTGTAGTCGCAGTTGATCCAGCTGTACCTGTACCAGCAACAATAGTTGATGTGAGTACACTATCATTCAACCATTTCTTAACAATTTGATGAGAAGTATACGCTGCACAATAAAGATTATTACTAATATCAACAAAAATGCCAGTACATCCATTAGGAACTGACATTACAGGTGTACTTATATTTGAGTTGAATGAAAATTTATCAACTCGATGATTATTTAAACCATTATCAACATAGATAGCATCTAGAGAAGTAGCGAAAAGATCATATGGTGTACTCAGACTACCAGAAAGAATTTTATCTGGATTAATACTTCCTTCGAGCCATACTACAACCTTATTAGTTTGTTGATTAGCTACATAAACAGTATTATCAATACCAATAAAAACACCAAATACGTAAGTTCCAACTATGCTACTATTAGCAAATGTAATTGCATTTGTATACCATGTTGTAGATGGACACAAATTTGGTTGATTAGCAGTCACATCTGAAAAAAAGTGAAAATTGATTAGATATCTCGTTCATTTCTGTTAGAAAATATTGTCAAATCATTCTTATTCAAAAGAATCATTTCAATTTCAATGAAGAAGAAGAAGAAGAATATCCTGCTGTTTTCAGCTATCTCGTGGTATTAAGTACTATCTGAAGATGATTCTTCCGATGAATCACTGAAGTAAAGCAGCTCAACTTTCAATGACTTACAAGATCAAATCTAGATCTCGAGTTCTGAACGTCGGTTAAATTCTATAGTTCAAATTTAATGAAATCCACTTATCTATATTCACGAAACAACTAATAAAAATGTGGCTGGTAATTGTTTAGAGCATTAAATAACGGTTTTCTTTTGCGTTATATTCACAAACAGATTGTTCACTCAGAAGAAATGTATAGTGAGAGAGATATCAATCGACGCATATATATATATAGCGATATCAGCTCACTTACTCAAATATGCACAAAATAACAAGTCGCGACTAACTTCGAGGGATAGTCTGATTTTGAAACTCGGTATTTTAGACACTTTTTAATCGTCATTTATCAAATTACTATTCATATCATCGATACTATAGCTATCTAAGCAACATAGTACAGCCTATTTATTGAAATGAGAATTTTGAAAATGCAATGAAAAGATAAAATATTAGAATATTTTCCCTCATTTGTTCGATAATGCGAAAAGAAGATTCTATTGTACTTACCATAATAAGTACTTGTTATAAGAAACTTTTGTATTCGATAATTGTTTTGATCAACAACATACATATTTCCATAACTATCAAAACTTAGAGCTGTCGGATAGTATAATTGATTAGATACTGCACCATAAGCGCCTGAACATCCAACTAAACAGCGGAATCCATTCGGTCCTGACCCAACGATACGATGATTATTATAGTCCACAATGTAGAGATAATTATTAGCATCAAGAACAATTCCAGAAGGACAATTTAGAGTAATAGTTCCTGTTGCAACTGTTTTTCCAATTAATTGTGTTGATAAAAATAATTGAATTCGATTATTTCCACAATCAGCAACATATAAATTCAGATCTGTATCAACGTAAATTCCACGAGGACCATTAAGTGTATTCGTACTTGGTGCAGAACAGTCTGCACCTGCAGCAACTATCCACATAGCTGAATTATTATTCAATGATTTCGTGACAACTTGATTAAGTGCACTCATTGAACAATAAAGATTATTATTAATATCGATAAAAAGACCCCAACACGAGTTCTTCACATACATTGCTGAAGTACTAGTACTTGAATTTAATGTCCATTTATCAACTCGAGTATTTGAACCACCATTATCGGCATAGATATCACCATTAATAGTAACGAATATAGAATATGGACTAGATAAACCACTGGTAAGATTCCTTATGGGTACGCTGCTACTGTCATGCCACACCTGAACACGGTTTGCACTTCGCTCAGATACATATATAGTATTGTTAGTATCAATAAATATACCATACGGAGATGTTCCAAGTGTAGTTGTATTTGCAAATGTTATTCCGTTGGCACTCCAAGTAGTATAGGCAGTGAATTCAGGTAAATTGTAAGAAAGAACTAAAATACATATTTATCTAAAGTTCTTATAAAAATTGTTAAACTATATCAAAGGCGACAAAGCCAATTGGTCTTAATAAGCCCGTATTTGGCGACGCTATATGAATCATATACTCTATACTTAGATATTATGGATTTGCATACGCTTGACGATTTGTTTTTTGTTTCGCTAGATTGATAGATTAGTTTAGTATATCAGAAACTCTATAGAAATCGTTCAAATCTTTTATTGTCTCCAGTTAGCAATGCTCGAAAACTGAGAAACCGGAATCTTTCAACTGTCAGGAACTATTAAACAAAGGTACTTTGCTTTTCTAAATTATACATATACAACTTGAAAATAGGAAGGGTGAGTGTTGGTGGTAAGATCAAAAAACGTCATAAAAGAAAAAGTTTCCTGGGTAGAGCTGAACTACCTCTAGCCTTCGATGGCGCTGAGCTTGAAAAGATCAGACGGAACTGGATGGTAGGTCCAAATTCGTTCTAAATGCTTGTAAATACGATTTTATAATTGAGCAATGATATTTGACATGACTCAACTTTCAACAAGGACTCATTACGAGTTCTTTGTGGAACTACAGGAGTAGAAAAGTAAATCAGATAGACTCGTAGTAATCAGTCAAAATCTATACTGGGATCAACCGGTTATCTGTATCGTATGTATTTCTGTAGAAGAATTTAAGAGGTATTCCGATTTCCAGGCCTTAAGCACTTCTTTTGTAAAAAGAAGAGCACAGTCTACATTAGGTCATTTTCAAACATTGTGATAAAGAAATTACATACGTGTCGAAGACGATGCAGTTGTCGAGTTTGTCACAAGAGAAGCTGATTGAGTAGTATTGGTTGATGTTACTGTTAAAAAGAAATATAAACTATTCGTAAAGCATAATCGATGGGAAAATACCAGTAGACATAGTTGTTACCGTTGTCGTTCCATCTACAAGCAAAATTCAATTAAAAAAGAATAATTTTATTCAAAAACAAACACAGGACAAATTTTTCTATCTCGAATTTGAATATGAGGACATGTATAAGTGTATTATGAATTTCGATGAAGAGAATATCGACCCTCGTTCACTTATACCCATACCCGTCTATTGTTGAATGTGATACAACTAATTTTTACTTACTACATGAATTTGTAATCAGAAGAAATTTTTGAATTCTATTATTGTCCGAATCAGTGACAAATATGTTTCCATAACTATCAAAACTAAGCATTGCTGGGTACTTTAACTGATTCGATAACGATCCTTGTCCAAAACAAGCTGCAATACATTGAAATCCGTAAGGTCCTGAACCAATAAGACGATGGTTATTACAATCAGCAATAAAGAGATATCCATCAGCATCAAGAACAACTGCAGTTGGAATATTCAATGTGATAGTTCCAGTTGGTATTGTTGTTCCATTTAATTGTCCTGATAAAAATTTTTGAATTCTATTATTGTTACCATCGGCCACGTATAAATTAAGATTATTATCGACAAAGATCCCACGAGGAGAATTAAGTGTTAGCGATGTTGCTCCAGCAGTTCCCGTTCCGGCAGCAGTATTCCAGACAGGCAAACGTGTATTCAGTGATTGCGAGATAATTTTATGAGAAGTAAACACTGAACAGTAGAGCATATTATTAATATCGACGAAAACACCAGTGCATTGTGAGCAAACATACATCGCTGGAACACTACTATTTGAATTTGATCCCCATTTGTCTACTCGCATATTTGAATAGGCATTATCGACATAAATATCACCATTGTCTGTGGCGAAAAGGCTAAAAGGTTTGGTTAAACCACCGGACACAGTTCTTGACGGTGTCATATTGCCACTAAGCCATACTTGGATCCGAGCATTTGATTGATCAGCGACATAGACCGTATTATTTGAATTGACAAAAATACCATAGGGGCCTGTACCAACCGTAGCGCTAGTCGCAAACGTTATCGCTGTAGAATTCCATGATGCATTTGCACAAAGTTTAGGTTGATTGTAGGAAATACCTAAATAAAATAATAAGAATGATTTTAAACATAACGATAGACATTCTACATTCAATCAGTTTATTCATAATGCTCTCATAGATATTTATTTCGAAAGAAAAATTGTTGCATGAAATTAAATATCTTATTTTTATATTAAATACATTAACAATTTTAACAAAATCCATACCTGATGTTTGCCCAATAAATAACGATAATAACCAAATATTGAAGACGTTAAATAATTTCATATTATTTATCTGAAATAAAATTTATTTTCATATCAATAAATGCGAATATGTAATAAAAAAATTATTGAATAGAATATTTGTACAATCTTCAATAGATTTCTAGTGCTTAAATAAAATCTTGCACAATACAAATGATTTTAAAATGACATGATTTAAATAATAATATTTTTTTCTTTAATAGTCAAACACTACTAAATAAAATACAAATATATGAATTTAATTTTCTATTATAAATATTTTTGTCTCTATAGTGAACTAAAAAGAAAAACAAATTTTGAAATTTTTTAAAGATTATTAATTTTTTGAAAAGCTGATTCTTATGTTTTATCTTATCTGTATTATATTTATAGATATCAACAGTATGTTAATACGAATGAATTTGTTTTTTACCTGAAAATATATTGTAGTTATTTTATTTAATTTTAAAAAAATCTAGGTTATTGCCCTTTTTCATTATCATCAAACGGTTAAAGAAAATGCATTTAAAAGGACATTCTATTAATAGATTTCTTTTGAAACATTTTTTAATAATATTAAAAAGGAATATGTTTGTTTGTTCTACTTTATTCTCTAAGCAATTTTCATATTCTAAAATCCATTTGTGCAATAAGAAGATTGTTTATCATATTTATATGAGACAGAATAATCATTTTTCATTCAATAACTAATATTTGACTGAACTTCCGTATGTTTATCTTAAAATATCTGTTAATTGATTTTTTTCAAAGAAAGACTCGAGAAAATATTTTTTTTTCTCTATTTAATTAGTTATAAAATGTTGACATATGGTTAAAAATAAATAAAATCATTTTTACATTATATTTCTAAACCATCTGCATATTATTACTTATACAATAAAATGAAAAATATGATGAAACGAATATTATTTTTGATTTTCAATGATTGAAATAATAAATTGCATCAAAATCATTCCGTAATTTTAATTTTTAACCAATTCTATTTAATGATTTTCAAAGAAATTTGTATTTTAACTAATGAAAATGAAATACATCAAAAATAGTGTCCGTTACATCATTTCTTATAATACTGCTAATATTATTATCTAATTTGTGAAGATTACTAATTATTTTAATTAAATAAAAAATAATGTAAGAATAACATAAATACCTTTAAATAAATATTTAAAAAAAGAAGTGAAGATCTATATTTATATATCATCCTGAAGTGATGATGATCGAGACAGCGCAGTATTTGGTAGTTTTACTCTTACTTAATGTTATTAAAATGAATAATCGTTTTATCGTAGTTATGAAAAGCTTACCTCTTTCAAGATTCTTTTGAACAAAATGAAAGAAAAATGTAATATACTAGTCTTCTCGAGAATGTCTAATAAATATGTTTGCTCTGTAGCATACTATCACGTTGGTGACGATTCTTTTTTCTTCTCTTATATTATGCTTGGTTTATCACTTGTAAAAATAAAAAAAAAGACGAAGGAAAATAGAAATATAACACTTAAGAAATATGTATTTTAAATTAAAGAATATCACTCAACAACGAATTGATAATCTACTATATTAGATCGAAATTCAGATCGAAAATATATAATGATAGAAAGATTTAAATGAATAATGAATTCCTATATTTTTCTGCGTATAATTATCTGAGAAATAATGAATAGAAATATCATTCGTAGAAAGTACATGATCATAGTGTCGAAGTATCAACAAAAATAAACAAATATTATTCATCGATATAATTAAATAGTTTCAGCGTATATTTTTTTTCTCAAAAAGTTTATTTTAGATTTTCATTTGTAAAAACTCTTAGTAAGTAATAGAAAAAGTTGATTATTCAAACAGAACATTGTCGTCATCAACAAAAAGAAAAAAAAACTCTATGTGTTATTATAGAAACAATACACAACTAAATGTATTCTGGCCTCCAATTATGATTTTTTTGTTTGTAAATATAGGATCTTTTAATACATCGATTCTACTTAAAATTTCAATTATGTTAACTCCATCGCTTGAAATTCTTTTATTAATAGAGTTAACATAAGTAGCTAGACATTAATCAGCACATTTAATTTACTTTTTCGTTCAAGAATATGTTAGGTGGTATCATTACCTATCTTCATTTCTTTCTTATAATATATATATGTATATCTTCTTTCGGTTTGTTATCACATATACATATATCATATATAGTGTGATTCATCATCTTCTTCTATATGTGTGTTCTCATTCTCTTCCAAGTCGTTCATGGATTTTTTCTTTCCTGTCGTTCACATATATGTTGCTATATGTTATGAAATTTTTCCTCATCTTATTCTTTTGTTCTCCTGTTGAACATATTCCTAACAGAGTGATCTACCATTCTATATATAGCGTGTGTTTTTCTTCGAATAAGCAGAGATATAGGATTCTCATCTTCACAAATACCTAGTTAATTTAGATATAATTACTAAGTCGGTTATCTTCAATTTTTTTCTTCGTTTTGTCAAACAATGATCTGCTTATTTATAGACAATAATATATAACAAGCTGACGTGTTCGTCCAATTGGACTAAAAATCATAAGTTATTATTTCTATAAAAGAAAAAAAATATCATCTTGCACTGTTCTTTCGTCAATACATATAAACATTTTTGTTAAAGATGAATATTAAAGATACCATTTCTAATATGTTTTATATATAATCATCATTGTTAACGAAAATTCAATGTAGCAGATTCACATCATATATTTTTATTTTCTAACTAAGTAAAATGTATACGTAAATACAATAAGAAAAATAAAAAAACAAACTAAAAGATAGGCCAATGTAGAATAATAAATGTAAATGTAATAAATACCATTACGCAGCCAATAACTGTTATGATAAATAATATTTTTGAATTAAGCAAAAAATCACAAAAATGAAACAAGTAACGCTCATCCGATGGATTCGCTGACCCTTTTCTGAAAGAAAATTTCCTATGACTATCATTAAAAATAAACTTGATTTTGAATACATGTCAATAAAGGAACCTAAACAGGTTCTACTCGTCATAAAATCTTGATCGAACATTGTTCATCTTTAATTTGAGGAATAAACGATCAGTCGCAGCCGTATATCTCATCTTTGGAAAAACTGACCTAATTCAAAGAGATTAAGGAGTTGTGATGCTGCATATTCGAGAATTCTTACAATTTCAAAATAATCTGAGCAAAGTTACCTTAATACTCCCGAGCAATCGGGAAAATTGTTGTTATGAAAAAAACTCATCCTCTTCTCAAAGTGTATTCAACAATTATAATAGTATAACAAAACTAGGATATGCTTGGGATCACCTGGAATCATGATTATATGAAAAAAAAACTATTCATTTAAAATGACACAATTCCGAACAACTCCTAAAACCTTTTAGGGTCGCACAACTGCATGTCTATTCCTGCTCACGCCACAACAAGCAAATAACGCCATGTTTGCATCGATAAGTCCTTTATTGAATAGGTCTTATTACCTCGAATGTATAATATACATTTCCTTTTAGTTCAAGAACCGAATCACTTAGCAATCTCTCATACAACTCCAAATCTCACTTATTATACTTAGAATAAACCTTTAAAATCAACGTCTAGTCGTTCGTCGGCCTCCCTTCGGTCGGCCACTCACGACTAGCCGTTTCTGTGTTTAACTATACTATTTCCTCCACTATTAATACAGCTTAGAAGTTAAGAGGTGCATTTCGTATGAATTTTCCTTAGAAAGATACTAGGTATTTGATATTCTGATTCTCAAGAAGAAACTAAGGAAAGAAGAAGTATGTTGTAAGCTGTTACGAATAGAGTACATCACATTGTGCCATAGCAAAGATCTTCATCTACTGCGAATATTATTATACAGTTAAAATCTACGACCATTTAACAGTAGGATTTCAAACAACTGTTCTTTTTTTGAAATTATTTGTTTCAATTTTACCGAAAAATCCGATTATAGTTATCAACTAGGATCCGGCGGGATAGGGTTTCTTTATTTCGATCTCGTTCTCGCGTATTAAAAGCGGTACTCGTCCTGGTTCTATTTGAACCCGATTTTTCTGAAACTTCTAGAAATAGTTTTTGAACACATGTTTAACAAGTGAATAGCCACACCTACCGGGTCCAACAAAACAGTTTCCTAAAAAATCTATTCTTTGAGTAAAAAAATGAAGGACAAAAAAATTAAGAATTTGACTTGAGATTCTGATTCCCCGATCCCGATTATCTTTGATCAAACTTTATAAAAAAAAAGTTTTTTCATAAAATAGTGGTCCTTTGTCTAAAAAAATTGGTACTCAAAAAAATCTTCAAAAACTAACACCAGATTCGGATTCCCCGACCCCGATTGTATTTGATCAAACTTTATAAAAAAAGATTTTTTTCGTAAAAAAGTGGTCCTTTGTCTTAAAAAACTGGTACTCAAAAAAATGTTTTAAAAACTGACACCAGATTCGGGTTCCCCGACCCCGATTACCTTTGGTCAGTCATTTTCTGATGACCAGCTATAAGTTTTCATTGACTTCTAAAATGCTGCAATCTGATTGGCTGTTTGGACAAACAAACTTTAAGCATTTTAACGACCCTATTTAACGAGCCTATAACCCTTTCTTTCAGAAAAGGGAATATCATCTGTATTTAAACTTAATTTGTTCAAAATGTTTTTGCGCTAATATCAGTTATATAATATCTTATAATACATAATAATCTGTTGTATTTACACTTTAATGAATCTATTAATATTATAATCAATATATAAAATCAAATAATAATAAAATTTAAACCGTATCGACAGTGAACTTCTTTAATCAATACAATATTTCTAATTGGTAATGCATTTATTTTGAACAGATACAAGCCGATTCGAATAATTTTTATGATAACAGTTACTGAACAAATAATGAAAAATAATAAAAGTCTAGCCGTAAATGAACTATTTCCACTTATATCATTCCATAATTCGCTGTAATCATGAAAAAAGAAAGATGAAACCATATTATATGTTAAATGAAGGAG